TTTTTTGTTCCAATTTTGAAGTTCTGTCCTCCTCCCCAATCCCCTTCCCAGGGAATCTTCTTGCTGTTGATATCTCGCTGGTCCCGGAATATGCAACATTTTGTTCTCCTTGAATCATCTGACCTCATCCAAATTATAACGTAAAGCATATCCAAACGCACCTTCGTGTGGATTGCGATCCCGGCGTATCCGTCTACTTCGGTAACGTTTGGAATTTAAATAATTCTTTGTTGACCATTGAGTGAATCCCGATCGCACAACTTTCTATTTGTGCGCTGAACTCATCTCAAGCATCACTTTGAGATGACAACCTTTTTTGGATACCATTCATTTGATACACCACATTCTTAAAGTCATGCATGATTCGTGCAATACGAGACATCCACTCCAAATCGGTCAGGTGAATTCCAATTGCAAGACGTAAGCAGGGAACGAACGGTGGGTAAAATATACAGAAGCCAAAACTGTTCGACGACCTTTGTACTGGCAAATTCAGTAAATTTGAGTGAACACGACTGGAGATCGCTTGTGAGCCCGGGTTTTGTATTGTCTCGTATTGAAACTTTAATGATTTGTATATAAGCTTGCAGCTAAGAAAAGACCACCGTCACAATACAAAATGGTAATTTATCTACCAAATTCAGAACAAATACTCTCCTTGTCGGCCAGTGTCTGGGCGAGATAGGGTACCAAAGAAATTCTGTAGGCAGATGTCCGAGATGAGATGAGCTTGTATTTGGCCCGGGTGAAGGGGTGAGATTTGCATGTACATAATTCAATGTGTCAAGGACGGGTACAATCATAGAGAATGTTGTTAGCAAACAGAACAGATAATGGAAACATGGCTGATCATTGTGAGGCCACGCCTCAGCAGCTTGAAATCGCCCTTCAGCAAACCAGAGAAAATAAAAGCGGACCACTAAAGGGGTATAGGGAGAACACATTGTTGAACAAAAGATCCTATCACCGACAAATCAAAACAGAAGCGGCGAAATCTTCTTACCGGAAAGAAAAGAACTTTCAGTTTTGAAGCATCCGTGTGGGTAGATGAGAGATTGGTTTAAAATAAAAACACATTCAAGGCATTTTTCGGGATTGGAATTAAGGTCGGATGCAGTGGAATACGTGGTAAGTCACTGATGCAACTCGCAAAAAGTTAAAAAGATAACACGACACCTTGAAGAACGCCCGAACTATCGAGTGACACCCTTGATTGTCATCTTCCCAATTTAACATACCGACGTCTTGCAAAAAATAATCACCAAGGCATTTAAAAAGAAAGTGGGACAGTCAAACGATTGAAGCTTGTTGAGTAAAAGACAGCGGGGCACCGAGTCAAAATCGGAAGAAAGAATGATCAAGAAGTACACAGTGCACGTATCTGGCTTTCTCGTTTAGGGACCTGCAGAGGAAGTGAACTAGAGAAGAAACAACGGTTATGTTTGTATGCAAACTGATAAATGTCATTACGGTCGGTGGGAGACAACTGAAGGCAAACTAGTGGAAGTGAGAGCAATTGACCTGAAACTTTTCGCTTTTGGGGCGTTTGTCATTGCCATTGCGGATGGGTGTAATTCTCATCGAGCGTCAACGCTCAGGAATGTTTCGGAATTCGGATGAAAGATTAGCTGTGTATGGAAAAATATGAGACAGTGGCACAGCGCTCTGCTTGCTAAGTATAGGACTCCAGTCGTCTGGACCAGATTCAGTCGACACCTGGAGAGAACGCGTATGTCTATACAAATTACTACAGTCATTGGTTTCACACGAAGATAGGATCTTGGGAGAACTCTAGTCGATATTGGTACTAGATATCAATTAAATTTGTAATCGTAAAGGGAACTTCATTTATTTTTACTGGGTAATAGTCGTACTGGAATTCATGCACACAAG